TGGTAGGTTCACAGTAGATAGGAAGAGGATTTGTTTACCATGAGGCTGGTGAAGCACAGGTGGCCTGGAGAGGTGGTGGATGCCTCATTCCCAGAAACATTCAAGTCTGGATGGACAGAGCTCTGAGCAGCCTCATCTGCTTGGAGAAGTCCCTGTTCACTGCAAGGATTTGGATAAGATGCTTTGGAAATCCCTTCCAACACAAACCATTCTGTGGTTCCATGAATGTTCTGGGTTTGGGCTTAATTTACAGTCACCATCTTAAAAGTAAACAACATTTTAAAGTTGCCCCATGTCCTTTGGAGCTATCTCCATACATTTATGTACACACGGTACAGAAACTGTCATTTTCAAGCAATCAAAATTGAAGGAAATAGCAAAAAGAAGACAGGCCAAGAGATCTATATGCCAGTACATAGTTAATAACTGAAAAAAAAAAATAAATACAAAGAACCAGGGGACAAGATTCTTGCCTTTGGTATTTGGGGAATTTTCTCTAGTTTAGTAATTTACCTTAAGGTTTCTCATCCTCTACCAAGTTCCAGCATGGTTTATTTAACTATTTGTTTGAAAAAAATTAACACAAAAAGGATTCTGTGGAGTGGTAACATTCACATTTGATAACATTGCCAAGAAAAATCCAGTTGGAAAAATAACATAATTATTTGCTTGTACAAGACTTGCAGAAGGTCAGAACACCAGTACAAAACCTGTCACAGTTTATTACATATTATAACAGAAACGACACCACTATCCTATCATGAGTTTGAAAATGTGAGATGTACAAATTTATGCTGAAAAACATTACTGTCAGTATTTAATCATAACTATATAAAAACAGTCCCCCTACCAGGGTACAACAGGCAATAGGGACTAGGCAACAGTTCTACCTAGAGCCATTTCCTACTCTGCATCACAAAAATAAGGAAGAAAACTATACACAGTTCACTTTGAAATAACCTCCCTCATTCTAAGCCCAACAATAGGATTTTAACACTTGTAGAAAATCAGGGGACTCATGAGAAGTACATTAGGAATTACTCCTTTTCTGGCAAATTATTTGCACAAACCACTGCCAAATCTAACACTGACAGAAAAAACACTTCAGAACTACAACATTTTTTAAAGTCTTTCCATTGTTTCAAATATGCTCTTCAAAACAAATAGCATTTAACATCCATTGCATTGTGTTATCTTTCACAGGTTACAAACACCCATAATTTAAAAAAAGAACATAGATAGTAACTGCTGTAGCACAAGACAATGTACAGTTATTTCTGCTAATACAAATGATAAGATTTAAAATAAAATGGCAGCCCAAATCTGTTTGGACAATCAAGATGTCAGACTAAAAAAAAAAATTAAAAAGTAAAATGCTAGGCATCCACCCAATAGCTCCCACTGACAAAATATTCAGATTGAGATTTTCAGATAGCCTGTAGCACCAAACTATTTGGTAGCTCTATTGGCTCAGCTCTCTGTATAAAGTCAGATTTAAATCAGGGAATAGAAGACTACCACAAATGAGGGATAAACAGAAAGAACAGTCTACACATTTTTTCATTCCCCAACCTAGATCTTCAGAAAGCGAGAATACAGGCCATCTGAAATAAACAAACCTTAGTTACAAGTAACTAATTTTAGAAGTGAATAAAAAGAAAATTGTTAAGTCTCCCTTCTAAAGAAAGCTCTACTAGAAAAAGCCCACAAATCTGACCCTAAAAAAAGGGCCAGCACTCAGTGCCACATCTGTTAGCAGAGTTCTTCCCTTCTGTGACACAGAAGGATGAATGCACACTGAAGTTCCAGTTTTCATTTTTGCCCCAATACACAATACAAATGAAAATTTAACCACTGAATCCAGATAAACCAACATGGTTGATGTTACACAAGGTCGGGAAATTTTCACCCCAATCCTCCATTCACTAACTTTGACCCTATTAAGCTGGGTTAGAAATCAGGTATATTACAATCTGCAAGAGTGACCTCTCCATATGAACTGTCAGCCCCACAGACCCAGGCTGCTGTCAGACAGAACCATCAACTCTCACAGGTTGGAAGAGACCTCCAGAAGTTGCTCAGTCCAGCCCCATGTCCAATAAAAAGACAAATTCCACATTCAGCTAAGCTTCTCAGAACTTTGACAAGGAATATTTTGCACATGTCCAAGAAAGGCAGTTCTGCAGCCTCTCACAGCAATGTGTCACAAGTACATCACCATTCTAATTTTTTTTTTTAATCCAGTAAGAAATTACCTTGCTGTAACTTGCAACTACTAATTTACCAACCTTTCAACATACACTCCTGGGAAGACTGTAGCTCCACCTTCTCTGAAGATAACAAACATCATTCCTCAGGCTTCTGCAGGCTGAGCAAACACACCTGGTGCATGGCAGCCCCTCTCCTGCAGGCCACACCATGGCATCAGTCTCCCTCTTGCACTGGGGAACCCAGACCTAGAAGACCAAGCCTGCAGCTGCTGGCTGTGATTTCTCTTCCAATCCAGCTGACACTGAGCCAAAACCAAAGGGCTTTCAGCTTGATCCCACTGGTGTCCCATCAGTTGCAGACCAGAGCAACCATGCGTAACCTAAGCATGAAAGTCTTCAAATACCTGATATGATGGGTTTCATGTTGTTGATTGGTGTTTTTTTATTTGTTTGGGGTTTTGTTAGGTTAGGTTTCTGAGATCAGGACACTAACATAACATGCTACATGGAATATCATAAAAATGAAAGGCACAGACCCACCCATTATCTCACTGCCCTTTCAGACAGGTGAACAAATAACAGCTTCACAGCAAACCAACAGCAGACACAGAGCATATCCTCCATTCCCCAAGCCCTCAGCTCCAACACCATGTTAATTTAGTGCCAAAATAATTTTGTTGCTTGCCACGGCAGATTAAGGGAAGTGTTTTTATGAAGATCTATGCAAACATTCTGCAAGGTAAGCATGTGTGGGTGGAAGCAGTATTAACTCAGATATGTGAGTTAACTTACAGTGACTCCAGCAGCTGTGCTCTTTTTCAGCTAAGGCAAGAAATTGGGTGTTGGTGATAAACTTTTACCCAGAGATGTGCATTTATTAATTTGCCCTGAATCTCAACACAGGGCCTTTACCATCACAGACTACTGGCAGTTCCCAAATTGGCAGAAATACCTAAGTAAAATACATTTTATGTGCATTTATAGTTCTTTTCTCATTTCTAGTCAATATCCACACTGATCTCAGTAGGAAAATGATGAAACTATTTGAACTACACACAAACCCATTACAGAAGTACAGACTGGAACAGAAACAAAAATGTGTGGTGGTTTTTTACATCAATTACCTTCATATATTCACAACAGCAGCTGCATCCACTGCATACTGCTTTGTGTTAATGAACTTTTTTTTAAACCAACAACACACACATTTTAAATTACAGAATGAGGAGCAGTAAACTGAGAAAACACTGAGAAGAATTCAGCAAAAGAGTACCTAAGGTGATTAAGTAATTTATTTTTACTCTATATGGTCTTAATAATAAAATGAGATTCAATGTCAATATTTCATTTTTGCTATTATCATCAGATTTTATTGATCTTAGGGTAAACTCAATCTTAACAATAAGTTTACGTACAGATTTTAACCAGACAGGACTAGATTCCACATGTTCAGGCTGAAGTGAAGGAAAGTTCTCCAACCTGTACCAGAGACACTTCCGCTGACAGAGACACAAAAGACTCCCTGCACTGAAACAGAACAAATCAGTTGGAGGATCCCTTCAGTTTTGGGGAGCTCAGGGATGCAGTAGCAGCAATTCTCAGAAAGAATTTTCAACAGCAAGATACTCTCCTCGAGAGTTTCATTTTAACTAAAATAACTGCAGAGGACTCTTCAATTCAGCATGTGATGGCTTTTATTTGTGGGAGGAGGGAGGGGAATAAAAGGAATTCCTTTGACAAGAGAGCTGCAAACCACAACCAGGATCATTTTACTTCTTTAGCTACAAAGAGATTATATGCCACGAAGAAAAATCCCATGATCTAACAGCTTTTACAAATAATACCACTCTAGCCAGTTGCCAGAGAAGATATTTTTGCAGCTGATTTGCTTTGTACATTTCACAGCGTTTGATACACAGTATTCATCATTTAAACTCTGATGAATGTGGTATCTCATGCCCTTGCTTAGTCTTCCCACAGACAAAGCTTTACTTAGCTCTTGAACTAAATCTAAAGTCGTTATTTATCTCATGTTTGTGATAATATACTCAAAGTAAAGGAAAAAAAAAATTCACCAGTTATGGACTCCTGATTGGCAGAATGATTTACAACCTGAATTAAAAGCAGAGGGAAGAACACAACACCCCAAACAGCACAACACAACATGCTCAGAGTTTCAAACTGAAATGTCCTGCTTAGTTTCTTTTACCTGAAAAGATTTATGCAGCCCCAAAGAAGTACACAAGACATGCTAATGACCCTGCAGGAACAGTAGGTACCAGCTGACGTTGCTGTAACAACTACAATAAATATTCCACGAAACATTCTGTTCCGAAGTCAACTTGAAACTTTAAATACAGCTCTATTATAAAAAGCCTTAATGATATTCTCCTGCAGATTGGTGGGGTTTTTTTGGTTTGTTGTTGTTTTTTTGGTTTTTTTTTTTTTTTAATGGTGAAAGCTTAAAGAAGTGTGCACTAAGTACCCAACCATTGTTCTGCCAAGGAACAACTGAGTACTGCTGCAGTGTAAACGTGAAATGGAAATTACATGATCTATAAAATATGTTACTTCAAATCGCTATTTTGTATCGGAAAATAAAGAGAAGAGAAAGGAAAATAAGCAAAACACAAAAATCAGCACCTCCACGAAAAAAGACGCAAATATTTACCTAGAATTTACCTAATACTGTAAATACAAGCAACAACTTGAAAAATGAGAAGGCAATAAGCGCTTCAGATAATTAACCTTCCAGCTCTCAAGGAACTATCTGAAGCACAATAGTCTGAAGTCCGTATAACCACTGTTACAGCGAAGCAGAATTACACAGCGCCACGAAGCTCTCTAAAAATAGCTGCAAACCCGGCTCCGTGCTCCCAGCGGCTGCGCACCGGCAGGCAGGGCAGAGCCCGGAGCGCGGCCCGTGAGGGGCGGCGGGCGCGGGCCCCTCCCGGCGCTGGAATGCGGAGCCGTAACCCGAGCCGCCCGCCCCTCCTCCCGCACCCGGCCTCAAAATGGCATCCCGGCACGGCCCGCCGGCAACCCGCCCCGCCGGGCCCTCCTGGAGCAGGCAGCACAAGGAAAAGCCTTTCTCGGGCTCCGGCAGCCGAGGGAAGCGCCGCTGCCCGGCCTCCTTCGGGCCACCTCTGCCATCACTCACAACTCACCCGAACTGCCTTACACACGAGCCCGTCTCACTCGGGAACAAGGAACTGGTAAGAACGGCTCGTCCATTGCAAAGGCCTCGCACCTCAAAGGCAACGCATTCATGTAGATCCAGACAGACAGATTTCTGCAATGAGGTCAATTGTCCCTTCCTCAAATGAAAGGGACAATTTTGTTGTGAATTTACTTAACTTTCCAAACTATAGGCACACAGGTTATTTAGGATTCTGCAACACTACAATGTTTTAAGTTCCAGGTCAATTACATACAAGCACAGAAATTAGTAAATTACGCCTCAAAAGAAGTGTGAGATGATCTTACAGATTAACTGGCTCCATCTATTTTCTCTACAAGTGAGTAGTTTTGTACCATGAAAAAAGGCTGTTGCGATTTGGAGTAAGTATTTTGCTGTAAACAAAATGGACAAGAATTTTACCATTTTGAACATACTGAAATTACTAAGATGACATTATGCTACCAGATAGCAGAGACTTAAAAAAAATAATCATTCCAGTGACAGCACATGTAAGGAGAGAAAGAGAAACATTTTCCTAGTAATAGTAATTTTACTCATTAAGCACACTACCAAATGTTCTGTCAGGAACTGAGGAAAAAGCTCTCCATGTATCTCAGGAGGGTGCAAGTCTTTCAGCCATCAGCGGAACCAGAGGCTCACACTGAGTCTCCGGTATGACTCCCATAGGAGGTGCTTTGCACTTTTGCTGGCTGAACTAAATCTGACACCGCAGAGCACTGCTAAGGATGGTAATTCTGCAGCTCTACCAAGAAGAGACCTTTGGTCGCTGTACACTTGATTGGTAGAGTCCCTCTGTTCATGTAAAAAAAAAAAAATCTCCCCAGCAACAGGCTGCCAGAAACTCTGCTGTTACCATGTTTTAGGCCTGGATCTTAAGTCAAAACCAGAAATTCAGAGCTCAATGATTTTTATACAGGATTCCTTCACTCACATGGTTTCCCCTGTATTGGTTCACAGCTACAAAATAGGAAGAATTCAAAATGCTAAGAGACATTGACTTAAAGCACTGTCTCCATGGTAAAACCCTAGAATCTAATGAGGAATGCCAAATACCACTATGATGAGAGCTTCCAAAAGACTTTAAATCTGAAAAAAGAAAATAGAGTAGGCAGGATGATGAAAATAATCATTCTTATTGATATACTAATACACCTATCAAAAATCCCCACTATCGATAAATGTTATTGCAGGTCAAGGATCAGAAGCACTAACAACTGGCTACCTCTATAATTCTAGGCAAAGTAAGCATAGAATTTATTATTGTAATGTATGAGAACAAAAACCCTACTCAGGGGCCTTTGTTACAGAATATGAGCACTTTAAAGAATTTGGTTACTGCAAACAGACTTATATTTGCAGGACTGCTTTTTACAGAAGGGAAAATACAGTCAATTTTGCTTCTGTGTATCATACATGATAGCATTTTGTATCTTAGATAATGTAAAACTTGGACTTTTAAATTTTTCCCCAAAGGAACATCTCCTTTCTGTTAGCATTCTACAAAATTTTATTTCCAATTTGTAATTTCTATCAGATAATCAAAATTAGAAGTATTTTCTATTTTAACCAGAATTTCTCTATTAACTTAAGGTAACAGAAAATGTCATACATATAACAAATAAACAGCTATTTTTCTTTTAAAATGTATTTAATAAAGCTTACTCATTGGAATAAAATTTATTCAAATTGTTGGTTAGCAGTGGAAGAGCAAGTATGTTTACATATTAGAATTGCAACTCAAAACACCATAACATGATTACTTGACAGCTATTAAATGCCCTGCAAGAAGTTATTAGTGTTGATTCTCTTCCAGAAGGCCAATATAACAGTTCCACCCTTAGCATCCTCCCTGTAGTTTTACTTTGTTGTGTCTTTTTTAACATAAACTTTCCCGTCACTCCCACAGGTCGTGTTTTGGTCTCAAGACCTATTATTGGGATATTTCACACAACTACGTATAAAGAAAATTAAGCCAGTGCTAAAACTACAAAGTAATCCTAAAGGTTTCAACAGGGGTTAAAGCTACTGTGCTAAAAATAACAAGATGTATGCATATTTTACCAAGGATTCTGTTTTCCAAAAGAGCAGACAGAAAACACCACAGTGATGTTTTACAAGGACATTCACAAATACCTTCAAGTACTTCAGTACAGGTTTCATGCCAGCAAAGATTACAAGCAGTCACTGTGGAAGGGAGAGGGAACCAAGGAGAAAAACAAAAAACAAAACCAACCAAAAATCCAAACTCACGCTGCCATTGCAAATTAATTTTAACAAATGAAAAGTAACATCAGGAAATATACTGCTTATAACAGTTTTAGTATTTCCCCAGTCACAGTCTTTGAAAACTACAGACCACATATCACAGAAACATACAGACATGTTGAAATGGTAGTGAAGAAGAGACACAAAGATAACAGAAAGTACTGTTACAAAGCACTTTGGAAGTGGAAAATGTCCTTTAACTTCTTTTTGTACTTCTCTTGGATGCAGGAGTAACACAGAACCTGAGAGATGTCATTCTAAACAAAATGTCCTTTTGAACACACTTGCCTTCCTTTGAGAAACATGACTGTGAACATTACTAGCTGCTCTAGCAAGTGCCACTGTATTCACTGATCTCTCTAACATACCATGGACAAGCACTGAGCTCTAACTGTGTGCCTGGCCAAAGGAAGCTGTGCCAGTCACTGCTTCCAGGAGAAGAGAATCTTCTGAAAGATGTATCCAAATTAATGGTTTAAAAAAAATAACTTTAAAGTACACATTTATAAACTTGCATTCTAAGTTAAAATGAAAAACTCAACAGTATTGGCAAATTTCTTTGCATGAGACTTAAATATTTCCTAGTATACATTTCTAGTATACCTTCCAAAGCACAAATCATGGATGATACTACTTCCTGCTGAAGAGAAAACTCAGTGCAGAAGAATAGCATTTGTCAAATCCAGCATTTTCAAAAAAGAAGTGAATTTGCAACAAGCAGTTTAAGCAGAATCTGTTTTTTACTACAGCGTAATGGGTTCTGTAGGTGGAGAAGCGTGCACTGCAGACATACTAATATATAAATGTGTGGCTGCATCAGTACTCCTATGAGCCTGTCAGACATTTCATCACTATATTTTTAGATTATTCTCTCATACCAATTGCACTGTTAGAGTGGCATTTAATTCCATTGTGTTCATTGTCAAAAACTTAATCTTCTGCTTCAACTACAGCAGTTCTTTGAAAAAATACATTTTTAGAGACTGTAGTTAATTCTCAAATATATTTTCCCAGTCATAGCCATGAGCCAGCTTAGTGTAATACAGAAAAGAGCACCCACATTTCACTTTCTAGATGCTATGTCACCTCATGCTCCTTTTGACCAACTCTGAAAAAATCCTTGGATTTGGGAATAGCACACCTGTTTTTATATCTGAGCCTGCTATACAAAGATTTTATTGTGCTTTCTCTCTGTTCTAATAAAGCCTGGATTAATGAGGAGAACAGAAGAAAAATCTTGGCTGAATTGATCTACTCTGCCCTGGCAGTGATGCCAAACACACATTTGTGGTATTTCTAGTTCTTAAACTCAGGTGATTCTTTCATCTCAAATTTTTCTCTTCATTCAGGGAAAAAAACCAAGTAATCACACATCAAAAAAATTGCATTATGAGCAACAGACATAGGAAAGCCTGGTTTTCTACAGATTTGTTCTATTTTGGTCTATATCTTCTCCCAGTGTAATTGCTCCAGCTCACTATATATCCTGTATGATTTCACTCTCCTTAGCAATAGATCCATTTCCCCACTCACACACATATTCCTCTGACCACAGTTGTCTCTCCCTTCCCTCCCACATCCTCTGGTGCCAAACAGCGTCTTGCTGGCTGGACAGTAATGTGCATATTGACCTCCCTCTTACCAGGCAGAACAAGTTTACTGAACACTTCTGATTGTAACATCCTTCACCTCTGGGGACATTAACACAGCTCAAGACCTTTGAAACAAACAGCGTGACATCCACTCCATAATCTGACTAGACATCTAATCTTCAAACCTGCTGATACATGAAGCTTGTCTTTGAAGTTCTAGGTGTTAGGAGTTTGCCAAACTCCAAAACTTTACAGACTACATCAGAGGCAGAAAAATTTAACAGAACTACTAAACAAAGGACTCAACTGCAAAAGAGCAAAGACAAACACGGGGATGGGAAGGTAAAGATTCTAACCAATTAATTTTTGCTTTGTGGAGTGAGAATATAGTCAATATAACTAAGAAGTTACACAGGATCACCAACATTCAAGCTAATTAAAAAAAAAAAAAAAAAACAACAACAACAAAAAAAAGGCACTCCAAATTGGGTAACATTCCCAAACAGCAGACTTACCCACAAGCACGTTACAGCGCAACTAAACTGGGCCTGGAAGGGGCACTCTTGTTCTCTATGCTAACAGTAACACTTGGTCTGCCCCCACAACCGCAGCTAGACTGGCAAGAAGTGAAGCCTACTGAAAAAAAATTTAAAAAGAAGGCAAAAAAGGGTAATGGGCTCTCAGCCAGTTTAGATTCCTACAGCACCAGAGCAGTGCCAGCCAGTGCTGCTGCAAAGGAAGAGGGAAGGACGCACCAGGGTGGCGTGAGCAAGGAGTAGAACTGGCCCTTCGAGTGTACCCGGCTGCTTAGGCTGCTTATCTGCAGCACAGAACTGCCCTCTCCATCTGGCAGTTAATTATTCATCCAGCAGACATCAATGGAAGTCTACCTGGCTACACTGCTCCAGTCCTTAGGAAATTATATGATCAATCTTTCCACACTAGGCAAAATAAACTACCTGAACAGAAAATGTTTAAGATAAGGCAGATACAAAAAAACATGTTACTTCACGTTTGATGGCAGTTTCGTTGAAGCAAACCTAAGAAATGTGTCAACGAAGGCAGATGGGTGCCAGTGCAACACAGAAAAAAGCTGTAGGCGTTACAGACACTACTAAGTGCAACAGCAGAGGAGCTGACGTGCCTGGCTGTGTGTGGGTGTGATAAAAGGCCTCTGAATTTGCCGCCTGCTCTGTGGCAGATGTCTGGCCCAGCACTCTGCCTGTGACACCGCCTGCTATCAGACCAGTCAGGAGCTAAGGGAGAACAGAGTCCTCCCTGGCTTCGTGCAAAATCCTGGGCAGTTCCTGACCTCCAACCAGGCACAAGTGACTGCACTATTGCTATCAGTGCACACATCCATCAGCAAATCCATGTGATTGCAAATCTGCACCGCACTTTCATCCCCAGCCACATATTCTGCCAGCGACTTTTCAACTGAAATATTTGCTGTGAGGAAGGAAAGAAACGCCCCATTTTAGCATCCTTGTAAACCTGCCATTCCCTTACACTGTGCAGAAAAAAAGTAGTGGTGAAACACTATTCATCAGTTTCTTAATTTCATTTAAGGTTTGATAGATAACCATCACAATCTCTCTCCACTGTTTCTCTTTCCTTAAGTGAAGAGGCTCAAGTCTATTTAGTACTGCATTTATTTGTACTGCTGGAAGAAGGAAAAATCAAACAGAACAAAAAATATTGCCTTCTCATTTTAATGGGGACTGTTGAAATTGTATTACCAAAAGGATGTAACCTGTATGTCCATATATAATGAACTTTACAACTGTATAATCACATTTTTAGAATACTTAACTGTATAGAATGCTGCTTCAAAATTGGCTTAAATTCATTTAAGTCTGTACAGATTGTAAGAAGGGAAGTGCTGGCCCCTCCTCTCCTCTTACTCCACATAAGGTACCACAGTGAGCTGGAAATACCAAAAACCTCGGGGTTTTTATGCGGTTAGTTTTCAGTTAAATTAGCAAACAAATCCAACCTTTTACGTGGCCACAAGTACAAAAGTGACAGTGCAAACACAAAAAAAGAGAAGAGAGGAAAAAAAATTCAACACCATAGGCAGATATGTTCTATCTAAAGTAGGAGCTTCAAAACAAAGATCTTGCCAAGTGTTAACACCTCGTTTAGAGCCTATTACTGCTTTTGCCTCTGTTTGAATTAAATTACATTGCACTTACTGTACCTCATCCAGTATTTTATCATCCAGGCATTCAATACTGCTCAAGCCAGTTTACAGTACCTGTATCAGCTACAAATTTCACCACACCATCCACTCCCCTTCCACACTATTTCCCGACACACAGAATAAAACAGCCCTTGTTGATTGCTTCCAGTGAGGCTGTTACCACCCCTCTGCCCCGGGGCACCTGCCCAATCCTTCCTGGGAGCCCAGAACCGACCAGGGCCTTCCAGATAACGTCTCACCAGTGCTGAACTGAAGGGCATCATCATCTCCTCGAGCCTGCCCACAACACTCACCCTTGGACGGCCCAGGAGGCACCTCCCCAGGTGCAGGGCTTTGCATTTCCCTTTGTAGAGCTTCATGAGGTTCCTCTCTGCTCACTTCTCCAGTCCATCCTGATCCCTGCAAGGGGCTGCACAACCACCTAGCCCACCAAACTACTCCTCCCAGTTCTGTATTGCCTGCAAACTTCTGAGGGTGTGCTCTGTCCCATCATCCATGAATGTACACTTGGTTACACTGTACCAGAAATCCAGCTCGACCCCTGGATCACACTGCTAGTGATTGGTGCTGCTGATCACAACTCCTTGAACCTGATACTCATCCAATTTTCAGTCTCACTGTCCATCTGTCCAGTCTGTACTTCCATCAGTTTGTTGATGAAGATGTTACAAGTGACACTGCCACTACCCTAAGGAATTCAAGGTAAACAATATCCATTGCTCCCCACTCAATCACTGAGAAAGCCTCCTGCAGGCACCTACCAACATCACCCATGCTGACCTGCTGCGAGGCCTGACCCACACCTCTCAACTGACTCCTCATTCACCCAAAAGGAAGAACTTCAGGAATCTCCATGGCAGTCTCACAACAAAAATCCCCACAACACCGTGTTGGATCCCTCACCATCCTGTGATCCTTCCTGGAGAGCCTGTTAGGAGCCCTTGCAGCACGACAGCCATGTCAGCTATCCCACCCCATCTCTGATCAAAACAGCATGTGATGCCACAGCACACAGACCTCCAATTTCTCCTGTTTGTGCCCAATCTTTTCCACAATATATCAAAAATAGTGAAATCCAAATAAAATAATCAACTTAGGTTTAAGTTTTAGAAACTTCATACTGGCTACACTTTTAATAGCCCGGAACCTCATTTCACACTATGACAAAATTACAGATGCTAGAGAGAAAAATCAACAGTGATAGTGGAGTAATGTATGGATGGATAGCTATGGGAAGAGGTGCTTTGCAGTTATATACAGAGCAAGGAGAGTAAGAGCTCTGTCACACCTGTCCCTGCTAGAAGAGAGCTCAGGGCTCAAACTCAGCAAGTCTTTCTCACCATGCCACTGCTCCCCTGCCCACACTCCCTGTTACCTGAACCCGAAGTCCCACTCCTGCTCTTTAAAATGCTCAGGAGACCCTGGGATCTGTATTTACAGCACACCCACAGCTTCTCTCTCAGTCAAAGTCACCCGAAGGAGATTTATTTTACCTTCAGTTGGTCTAAGTACACACAGTAAAAAAATATCTTCCAGTAAACAATTACTTCTTCCAAAAGCAGAAACAGTTTGAGATCAAGATTTGAAATCATCAAAAACTGACATTTCTCTTACATAACCTCAAACTTTTAAATTTTGGTTAAAAGCCTTTGAAGCAAAGAATATTTAAGGCTCTTTTATTAACTAAATCACCCTTCACATCAGCACTCAAACCAATGCTTTCTCAAAGACCAATTTTCTACCATATGAAAATCTTAGTACTACCTGGTAACTAATGAATACCAACATTGTCAAAAATTACAAAGACAAAAAAGAACACAAAAGTAAAATGACACATCTTTATAACCTGCTTAGTAGCTCAGAGAGACCTTTCCTAACTATAATTGTTTCATGTGTTATGGATATATACTGAAATGGATTGAATGTGCTTTACAGACTCAGCTAGCTCCTATTGGGATGTAGGAAGAAGCTTCCACAGAGTGGTGTAATTCCACAGCTGTCTGCTAGACTGTCTTATGTGTTCCTCTGGAGCAATACTGCTGGCCACGATGGGAGCAAAACACTTGAAGCACTTGTAACATTCTTTTCTCCTTTCATATAGTTTTTAGTTAGTTACTTTTCCTGTAACCAACTTCTCCTCTGAAATTAAGTCAGCAGAAATTAAAAGATAAAGAACAACCAAGCAAGAAAATCACAGAAATTCATTGCAGCAAAAAATTACACACACTACAGATGCTTTAGGACAAAGAAGGAAATTCTTACATCAGCTCTTCCCTCCACCTCTATTCTCCAGGCTCCTAAGACTATTACTGACATTATTAGAGAGATGTAAATATTATACAACAGCATTTGAAGCTTTGAGAAAAACTTGAGTAATGCCATTTCTGCAACAGAACCACTGGCTCAGGAATGCACAGCTGCTGAGCAGATGTATAATTTCAGCATTTAGATTCCATTATTTCAAGGGGGATTTTTTTCTTTACTCCACGTTTTCAGATGTTCTATTTCCATCTGGTTTTTGACCTTCTTCAGCTTAGTCCACTCTCTTCTGTTTTAGTTCACTACACCAAAATAATTTTCTAAATTAGAAACATCTCTACATTTAAAAACTTGCAAATTTAAAGAGAGGTGGGGGAGTGAAACAGGGCCAGGGACAGAACAAAACCAGACAGTTCAACAGAGGTTTGGGTTTGAATAAAAACTGTCCTGTCTGGATCAGGATTGATTTTGCAGTTCCTGGTCTAACCCAAATTGGCGAGCCTCTAACTGCATTCCTTCCGTGAAATTTTAAGAGCAGGAAACTGAAGAATATCAGCTATATGGGAATGTTTCTAGACTTTGCCAGAGCCCTCTGCCATAAATTTCTGAGTATAACAACACTCCAGGTTATGATTCTTTTTAGAGTTACTATCAATTATAGTTATAAGTGTAAAAAAAAATTAACTCACCATGTACTAAAAGAGCTTTAAAAAACATATAAAGATCAGTGCAAACCAATGAGTGGTTGTTAAATCAATTCCGTAAATAATTTATTATTATTATATTATTATATATGATTAATTATATTATTGTGCAAGAGTAGTAAAATATTAAATATATATATACTGAGAAAGCATTGTTTAGAAAATTTTCTATTAATCTAAGTCAAGTAGAGGACTGGGGCATAGAATATTGTCTTTCAAACTTCAGTCCACACTACAGGTTTTAAAGATGAATTACCC